CCACTGAGCTAAATCCCCAGCCCAACATTCTGAAATTAGATCATGCACCCATTCTTTTATATCACAAAATTATTATATAGGAGTTTACCCAAACTAGAGTGACACTACATGGTACTATAATCCATGTATGTATGACTGATAAGCAGAATTTTTTATAATGACTTGAATTCAGATAATTTAACCTAGCTTATTGCTTTTAGTATTTTTGACTCTCTAAGGCATGATTAGAAAATTATGTAACTAAATATTCCTATAGCGTAAGCATATTTTCGACTGTTAACTATCAGCAGTCATGTTAAATTAACTTCATTGACCTAAACTGTTTGATAGCCTAAACTATTTGGTAGCAGTGTTTGCCAGGACTTAAAATTCACCTTTTTAATAATACATGCCCATCATATTATAACGTGGATATTTTAAGGTCATTATCAACCAGAAGGTGAAGAAGCAAAGCAATTCAATTCCTGTAAGTAAAAGGTTCATAAGAAATTATGCAAAACCTTGGATTCTGAGTAACTTCTTTTGTGAGTGTTCTGTATGAGGAACAGACATTTTTTGTTTTGTTTTGTTTTGTTTTGTTTTGGGTTTTTTGAGACAGGGTCTCACTATGTAGTCGATTGACCTAGAACTCACTATGTAGCCCAGGCTGGTCTTGAACTCACAGCATCCTCCTGCCTCAGCCTCCTGAGTGCTGGGATTACAGGCCTGTGCCACCATGCCCGGCTTGTTTTTTTCTGTTGTTGTTGTTGTTTTTTGTTTTTGTTTTTGTTTTTGTTTTTGAGATAGGGTCTCACTGTGTAGTTGAGACTGACCTGGAACTCACTGTGTAGCCTAGGCTACAGAGCGATCCTTCTGCCTCAGCCTCCCAAGTGGTGGGATTACAGGCATGCTACACCACACCTGGCAGGAACAGACATTTCTAATAAACGTGTAACTCATAAATGAGGGACATTGTGCAGTAGGCGTATGTGATGCTAAGTGTCACATGATCACCACTGAGCCCATAATTCTCCCCTCTCCCTCCCTCTTCTCCTTTTTTCTTCTCTTGCTCCCACTTCAGGATTGTGAGTGATCAGCTCGCAGCCACATGAGGTTTTGGAGGAGATATGTACAGAAGAGGAGGAGAAAAATGCCAAAGAGTCCCTCACTTTAAATGACATTAGGAACATGTGTAAAATGTGGGAAACAGTGCAAAATTTTGTAGAAAGGGACCACCCAAATAAGGTTATAGCGGTGGGAGCCATCAATCTGTTTAATGACAGTGTAATGTCACATTGCTGCAAGATCCTCAAAAGGGAGACAAAGCAAGTGTCATTGGATAGGTTCCTTGTTAAAAGTGCGTGAAAAATAAAAGATCCCATTGAGCCAATACATAGCATTGATTCTTTTGATGATCATGAAAGCTGTCCTGCACAGTAACCCTCTCATTTTCCTCACACCAGCCATGAAGGCTTTCAAAAGGAAGTGCAGGTTAATTTGCATATTTTTCTTTATATTTGTATTTTCCTTATTATTTTGTATTATATTACAGTATTATAATATTATTGTGTGAATAATGAGTATCTTGGGGTTGTTGAATAAACAACTCGAGTTTGCATTTTTATGGGGAAATTTGCTTTGATACACAAGTGCTTTAGGTTACAAGCATTTTTCCAGAATGAATTTTGCTCACACACCAAAGTAATTATTTTCATTTAATTTATATCTTCATTAGGTTTTAGATTAATATGCAAAGAATAACCAGTAAAATACTGATCCTCAGTCAGATGTGTTTCATTTTTTAGAAAATAACAATGAGTTGGGCCAAGGAGTTAGCTCCGTGGTTCCTCCGCCTGCCTCTCAAGTGCAAAGTCCTGAGTAAAAAAAATAACAAGGAGTTGTGCCACATTGTTCTTTCCTTTCAGTATTTAGGATTGAAAAAAAAATACTTGGGATGATACCTCAATTTCAAAATGTATAATAATTACTAATTTGTGTTTGACTGGGTACTTCTTAAACTTACGTTGATAATATTTTGTTGTGTTTTTTTTTTTTTTGGATTGGGGATTCTAAGAGGTAAATAAAGTTTAATATTAATGTTTTCCTCTCATTTACAGGAATCAGAAATACCAGCAGAGGAGGGGTACTGTGACTTTAATAGTAGGCCAAATGAAAACTCTTATTGCTATCAGCTTCTTCGACAACTAGATGAACAGAGGAAGAAAGATATTCTTTGTGATGTCAGCATTGTGGTAAACGGGAAAATCTTTAAAGCTCACAAGAACATCCTGGTTGCAGGCAGCCGTTTCTTTAAGACTTTATATTGTGTCTCAAACAAAGACAGCCCTAACCAAAATAATACTACCCATTTAGATATTGCTTTAGTTCAAGGTTTTTCAGTCATCTTGGACTTCTTATATTCGGGTAACTTGGTGCTCACTAGCCAAAATGCCATTGAAGTGATGACAGTGGCCAGCTACCTTCAGATGAGTGAAGTCGTTCATACTTGCCGAAATTTCATTAAAGATGCCTTAAATATAAGCATTAAATCCGAAGCTCCAGAGTCTGTAGTTGTGGACTATAATAATAGAAAATCAATCAATAGAGATGGTTTGTCTTCATCACGGGATCAAAAAATTGCCAGTTTTTGGGCAACACAGAATCTTACCAATTTGGCAAGTAATATAAAAATAGAGAATGATGATTGTAATGTCAGTGAGGGCCAAATGGAAAACTACCAAACGAGTGACAGTAATTGGGCCCAGCGTGGTTCTCCTGAAATGGCTGAAAATGAGTCTCCAGGTCAAGGAAAAGTGTTTATTTGGAATAATATAGGTTCCCAGGGAATTCAAGAGAGTGGCAAAACAAGGAGGAAAAATCAAACTACGAAGAGATTTGTTTATAATACATCACCTAATAATGAAACAAATTTAGAAGATTCCTCAGTGATGCAGCCACCTGTTGCCCATTCAGAAGAGAATAAGACCCTAACCATCAAGCAAGAACCAGGTAAGTAGTGTAGTGTATATATAAAGGCATTTATGTTTTCATTTTAATTCTAGTTGATTATCTTGGTATATTTTATAGTAATATTTTAGTTAAATATTTTATTACAGAAGTAATGTGTAATACTATTTTTGAATGTGTACAGTAGATTAAGGAGGAAATCAGTTAAAATCTCTGGTATATTTTGGCTTGGATATGTGAGTTTCTCAAAAGTTGTATAAACCAATCTGCATATCCGAATGCTTCCTGACTTTAGATGAGGTTGGTTAGGTCTCTTTAAACATAAGATGACACTAAAATGCACTTAATACATAGCTTACTGAAGTCATAGCTCACCCTAAGCCTACCTACATGGACCTGAAACACAGACCCAGAATACTGTTAGCCTACTGTTGAACACTCATGTAATGCGAACCCTGTTTTATAAGTGTTGAATACTTCATGAAATTTACTGACTAATGTACTGAAAATGAAAAAGAATGGTTGTATGGGTATGCTTTTACACCATCGTCATCAGTGGGAAGAGTCTAAGTCAAAGCATGTTAAGTTAGGCACTGTGAACTGTACTGCATGAGCCATTCTGTAGATTTTCTCATCTGCTCATTTTCTCTGTGCTCACTGTTTTACAACTAGTACTAGAAAAGATAGAGCCTACCAGTTGTAATATATACTCATTTGGTCATTTTGGAACGTTCATGAGATCTAGTTAACATTCCATCTCCCTCAGGTATTTAAACTGGCGTTTTATAGAATTTTGGTAATGATGAGATTGTTCTAAGTTGTTTAGAGCTACTGTTCTGTTCTCACCACAGATCTTAGAGAAGTTGGAATGTTTTAAGTTTGTCCACTGTCACTATCTCATTTCTTCTTCTCTTTTGCATTAGCATTAGTAAGAGAAGGCTTTAGACCTTTTTTTTTCTTCTGTGTATTCCTAAAAGAATGCATACTGGAGTCTTAGAATATCATATTATCAATGGGAAGAATATCATTATCAATGGGGATTTTTTTTTCTTTTTCCCAGTATCTGGCTTGAACTCACTCAGGACCTTTGGCTTGCCAGGCAGGCACAGGGGATTCTTTGAAAAAATGTGTTAGACTGTAAGTAGAAAATTAGAAAATTTCCTTTTATCTTCAGTTTAATTGCCTCTATGTAACCTTAGAAGCAGCTGGGCTGGGGATTTAGCTCAGTGATGCTGAGCCTGCTTCACAAGTGCAAAGTCCTGAGTTCAATCCCCAGTACAGGGTAGGGGGCTGGGGGAGCGATGCAGCTGAGTGGGTTTGAGGTCTCTCACCTCAGGTTTGTCTACTGCTGCCATACTTGCTTTAGTGCTTTTTTTCCCCCCTTCAAATCTCTGTTTGGTGTCTAATTTATTTGATGGTGAGCATCTGATGGGAATTCTTTTCTTCTTCCTTCCTTTCTTCCTCCCTCCCTCCCCCCCGCCCACTGGGGATTGAACTCAGGCATGCTTGCAAGGCGTAACCACTGAGCTAAATCCCCAGCCCAGAGTACTTTCTGTTATAAAGAATTACTGTTTTTTGAGCTGAGCTAGGCGTGGTGGTGCACACACGTAATCCTATCACTCTGAGAGGCTGAGGCAGAAGGATCGCTGTGAGTTGGAGACCAGCCTGGGCTACATAGTGAGTTCCTGGTCAGTCTCAACTACACAGTGAG